TCTTAGCATGGGGTAGTGTGGGGATAGTAGCCATGTAAGTCTGCAGTTTTCTTGCAGAGGTAACCCTCTGCCTGCAAGAAGAATAAAGCAAATGATTCAATGCCTAGCATGTTTAGCACTGAAATATGTTAGCAGTAGCTCTGTGTCCTCCAACGTAGATGATTGCTTTCCACTGAGTAGGTAGGTGGCGTGTATGAAGTTCAGATGCAGCTTGAATATGAGCAAGAAAGGATGATTATTACATCTCCAAAAGAAAACTCAACTGGGTGATTGGAAGGTCACTAGGAATGTATGGCTTGGCTGCAGTGCCTGGGAGAAAATGTTTTCTATTTAAAGGGAATGAAAGAAGATGAGGAAAACACGCAAAGAAAGAAACAGTGCTGGAGAGAGAGACAGTGATTGATAATTCTGCCTGTAACTGCTGCTGTTGATTTCATTAAGGTTAAAACAACAAACTATTCCATTATTGCATAGCAGTGAAAAATGAAATAGTGGAGTGTACAAAAGCTAATAACAAGCTTACTCTTTTTTCTTTTGTTTCTGTCAGACTATGAAATACAGAGGCAAATTGAAGAACTTGAAAATGGAGGAACAATTCTGAATGAAACAAGAGCCTTTGATTCCAAGCTTGGGTGAGTTTTTATTTTGGAGGAACATCAGGAATAGCAGCGTTAGTGCCATGGATACCTAGTGACATGATCAGAAGTAGTAACATAGTATTGCTCAACTTCTGTCTTCTAAAGCTAATGTTCTCAAGCATAGTCTCCTCATAGGTAGTAATTTATTCTTAAAGTTGAGGCTTTTTCACAACAGATTGTGTGCTACATCAAGCAGTGTCTGTGTGGAAATGACTGCCCTCTTACATACACTCATTTTTTGAAGTAGCTTTAAGAAGCTGTCCTGAAGAAGGAAGCTTCATGAGGCGAAGTTTTTGTTTTGTGTTTTTGACATAAAACTAATTCTGTGGTGTACCTCTTACCACATCTTACTTGTTTTCTTTTTCTTTTAGGTGCACTGTACCAATGAGAGACAAAGAAGGAAAACAGGATTATCGGTATTTTTTTTTAATAAAGTTAACATTTCAAGAATTGAGAATTTATTTCATTTCTTAAGTGTGGTTAGTGTAATGAGCATGTAAAGTTAGTCAGTGTAGTAAGTACATACTGGAAGTTTACCTTCCACTGGAAGGGGAAGAGACCTATCAAAATCAGTGCTAGTGTGAATAGTTCAGATCTAGAACTGTGTTTTATCTCCGCTAAAACCCATAGACCTTTCCCAAAAACTAAGCTGGAGTACTTTAGCTCAAAGTGGGTAAGTTGAAGGTGTACTGTGTGGCCAGTACAAGTGTGTTCTTAAGAATGCCTGACATAAAACGTAAGAATATTCTGAGTTAAGCATTGTTGCCACTTTAAGTAAATACTGAGGGAAATGATTTTCAGACAGCAGGCCCTGCTTCTGCATGCTTAAATCTACATATATTCTACCACTGATCTTACTAGAGCAGAGCAGGGATTTTGAAAACAACCCACAGACTTCAAATTTAAATCTGCTTTTTAAATTATTGTTTGTAGAAATGCAGCAGAAAAGGCAGTGATCATTTTATGAGTTCCTTATTATGGTAGGGGCTGGCATGAGGATTATTTAACAAGACTAATTCAAACAAATGCAAAGGAAAATTCATTAAAACCTAGGCAAAACTGGTGAGTCTATGATATTTCAAATAAAGACCAGAAAGATTATTACTAGTACTAACATTATTATCAGTATTAAATGGTGTTTTTCAGATTTTTTGTAACTTAGTGCTGCACATTGTACATTAAACTTAGAATCTACGTTTAGGCAGATTTGAAATAGAAATTATTGTAGTAAATGTAGAGGGTGCCCAATGTCCTTTATTCTGATATTTTTGAACCCTTCATTTGATCATGTAAGAGTGAGGTTTCTGCTTCAACTGCAGTTATTCGAGTGGTTTGAATTGGCCTTCTCTTTAAGGGAGCCTTTTGTTCTGTGATGGCACCCTGCTGAGCACAGTAACTTTGCTTTTAGCACAGCATGAGATTTCATCAAGATTTTTGAAGTTAGTCTGGAAAAGGTTGCAACCTGCCCAGATCATTCCTGGGAGTTGGCTGTCAATCTGTGGTTTTTTGTGCCAGTCTCGTCCCGTTTTGTCCAGATCAACAATTCATGCTTGATGCCAAAAGGAATGGGTTGTTTCCATATCTATTGTTGTTGTTATTTTTTATTATTATTTTGGGTGCAGAAGTGTTTTAATTACCCCTTTTCTATCACTGACTCTTTGACAATCCGTGGCAAATACTCAAAGAAAGAAAACAGGGGCTGATCTCTTATTACTTAACAGTGATATACTAAGTCATGAATTTTTAATATTTGGTTGGTTGAAATAGTAATACAACTTCCAGGTAAGCATAAACTTGTGATACAAATTTTATTTCTTGTTGTTTAGCTTCTGACTGAAAATAGTCATTTTCACTAGGTTCATGCCAGAGCCAAACCTTCCTCCATTGATTCTGTATGATGCTAAATCTTTGCCAGCTAATATGAACCATCAGCAAGTGGTAAATATTGATTGGATTCATGAGAGACTTCCTGACCTCCCCAGTGTGAAGAGAGCAAAGCTTGTTGAACAGTATGGGATTCTTCCTGAGCACAGCTTCACCTTACTGGTAGGTCTATTGATCAAGTGCTGAAATAAGCCTAGAAACTTCAAAGTTGCACGGTTTTTGAAAAGATTTACAATTGTCATATTAACCAGCTGTCAGTTCTCATGGATGTTTTTTAGTTGGAAATATGTCCAATGCATGCTTTGTACCTTGGAGCCGTATACACAGAAGGGTGGGAAAAAGAAACCGTGCACATTGTGCCTAGAAGCAGCATTCTGCATGCAAGGTGCAGTCAAATAACTATTATTTAATATTGATCTTGTCTGTCTAAACATGGATGCACCTGTGACTGACTGCAGCAAATGTACAACTTCC